AAACCCACATTTATGCCGGTTGAAAAGGACAAATGTACACAAAAGTATGCCACTCAAGCAGAACTAAACCCACTTTTATGCCGGTTGAAAAGGACACATGTACACAAAACAACAAGAACCATATAGTCAGAACCGAAAATAAGGGAACCTAGTAGTCATTCATTGCACTCGCCTGCTCAGTGGGCTGTGATGCCCAGTTGCCATGTACAGGATCTTGAGTACTTGCCGAGACTCCGAAACACAAGTAAACCGACCGCACTCCTAGAAACGGCAAGCAAGACGTTTGGATAATTATCACATTGAGCGCGCGGAGTTTTCTGCAGCCGTTTACACTTCCTGCGTCTCCACGCGCGTGAAATTGTGTGCAATACACAAACGCGCAGAACGGGAGTCTTTGTGCCGCATGCCCTTCGCACGCTCATTCTTCTTTCATTCGCGCTTAATTCTCCCGTGTCTATTTGAAGGAAGGTAAATCCTTTTGGGTTACATACTTGGATCTAAAGAACGAAGTAAAGGATGTCAATGTCAGTTCTGACGAATTATTTTAGTACAGTGATGAAGAGGAATTCGATGAGTTGGACATCCAGAAGACGACTATGATGACAAACAGGACAAACAACTGTGTACCCTAGTTCGCTGCGGACGGTTGGGCGTGCAGTATGTGTGTGTCACACGTTCAAATCCGTTCTCTGCCTTCTTGCTGAAGCGCGCATGCGACAAAAAGTGGTAGAAAACGAGTAATACGAACGATATGATACAGTCATATCATTTGCTCGCTTTAACAACTGGTGGAGAACGGGTTTGGCACCGCGCCAAACTCATCCCGCCTGACACGCCCAACCGTCCGCAGCGAACTACACTCGACTCAATCGAACGGAATTCATTCATAAAGGATCCTCGGCCATCATTTTCTGGAAGATTAGGTGCTAAGAGCAAGTCAGTCCGTGAAGCAATGGCACCCTTAGATTTCTATTTTTTTGTTTGGGAATGACGAATTCCCAAACAAAAAAATTTCGAATTCCTTGATTCCAATAGAAACCAACCAATATGAGGAACAAAACAGCCCAAACTTCTAGCCAACTGAGTTCGCAGAGCTGAGGAAGGATCGATTGAAAATTATCACATAAAGTGCAGTTCGTTCTATGGACTGCTATTTCTTGAAGTAAATGAAACAGCTTCAACGAGCCTCTCGCTTCAAGCCATAAGAATGTAGAACAAGAAAAACTATCGAGCATATATCCAACGCTAATCGTTCACAAACGATGCTTAGCTAGGAAGAAATTGGTCCACGAAATGTGAGTTGCAGGCAATGAGTGTGTGTGTGTGTGTGTGTGTGTGTGTGTGTGTGTGTGTGTGTGTGTGTGTGTGTGTGTGTGTGTGTGTGTGTGTGTGTGTGTGTGTGTGTGTGTGTGTGTGTGTGTGTGTGTGTGTGTGTGTGTGTGTGTGTGTGTGTGTGTGTGTGTGTGTGTGTGTGTGTGTGTGTGTGTGTGTGGCCTCGCGAGAGGCTCGAACGCGACCGCATTATGTGAAAGCTGACCATTCTTGCACAGAACGTGGGGCATACATTACCCTAAATGAAAGAGATTAATGCTGAACAGAACAAATACGACACTATAACATATACAGAACTAGTAAAATCGCGAATAGTCGCTATACCGACATAGTATGAAATATCATTGTGATAGCGTAGAGTTCACTTTTACTGTCAAGCCCATCACTTTGAAAATGTCTACCTAGAGAAATTATATGGGTTTTTCCAAAAACCTACGACAATAACAAATGCAAATTAAAAAAACAAGACGCCTGTTCGTTGTCACCTGCCTTAGCAGTTTAACACATTGAACGCCGCGTGAACTGTTAGCAATGCACGCGCATACTACCGTTCCGTTCTGCGTATTG